TGGCTCGTTTATCAAAAGTTTGAGCCTCCTAGATGGGGGGGAACATCATCACTTAATAATATTGACACTTCTTTGGGACCAACAGTGGGTATAGAATTCCAATAGAGATGATGATTACGCTTACGAGCTGAAAACGACGTCTGAGATACAGATACACAGATACGGATACGGCCAACACAATCACAAAATTAAGTGATTATGTTAACCGGTCTCTCTTGCCATTATTCGTTCACCAAAACACAAATTTACATCAAAATTAACTTGTTATGTGCCCAACAAAAACAAGAACCACAAAGACACAACAACCTGAAACCGAAACTGGGCTCCAAGCTGACAGCCAGCCTCTTCAGATCTCCATCCTCAGCTCCAGTTCTTCAGTTCTTGAGCTCTTGAGCTCTTCTCTCACCCAACCAATCTTGTATAATTTCGAAATTAGAGCTCATCATCAGCCCATATCAAAGTCGTTCTTTCTTCTGATTTTCTTGTGGGATAAATCGAAGAAATATCTCCCAACACAGCATACTTTGTATCGTCGGAACACATTATAGTTGAAATTAGCTTAATTTGCATTATTTTTGATTAGCTGAATGTGTCCGAATGGCCATAGAAATGGCTTATGATTGGCTAAAACACATAAATACTCTGAATTTATATGTTTCATTAAAGGAACTTGACTTGAAATTTACATTTTTGGCAGAAAACTTATCTTGATATAAGATTTTTGGTGGGACTTTTAAGTTCTTATTAAAACTTTATGGTGTGGAATTTATTTACAAGTTCTAGATAAGATTACATATATTTAAAATTAGCTGAATGTGTAAAATAAAAATAGAATTGATAAAACAAAAGATAAAGCTCACAAATAGTTTGAAATTGTATAGTTCATTAAAGGAACTTCAGGAAAACGTATCTAGATTTGTTTTTATGGTAAAGAATATATTTAGAATTCACAGATTAGTTAGGAATTAGTAATATTTGCATGATTATTAAATAGCTCATTAGGTTTAAGATTAAGATAAGTTAATTATTATTTAGCTTTCTGTTCAATTAAGTCTCATAACTTATAACTCATCTTGAGCTCAAAATCAAACTCTCCTTTAATTAGATTTCCCAAAAACCAGCAACGTCATGATATACTCCTAACTCTTATCGTATTATTTGCCAATAAGCACGTGTAATTAATATTTAAGCCAAGTGGGCAAGTTCAAGGAACCAACTTTTGGCAGCTGCAACTATACACACATTACTTATATTACGCATACGCCTGGTGGGGCAGGCAGGCAAAAGTTTCAATTAAGTGGCAAAGTTCAATTCCCCCAACTCTCCTGTCGCCTTCCGTCTGGCTTATATAAATTATATACGAATTTATATGAGCAAACTCAGCTAAATCTATCAGCATAATGGCTGGCAGATAATAGAAATCTCTAATTAAGGCCTCGACAATAGTTGACAAGCGTCCCTTGCCACTAAGCGGCTCACTCTCTCTCGCCCCAGACATCAAGATCTGGGCAAACAAAGGTGTCTGGCTTGGTCTGGTCTGGTCTAGGGGGAGTTTGTTCCAGCAGCAGAGTCAACCATATCACCCTCGTCCAGGCTTATTTCATTCATGTTTTTTGTTTTTTACTAGCTGCACACATGCGAGGGAAAAAAGAAAGGGTTGCCATTAACCACCGAACCCACACGCCGGATTCTGTGTGGGGGAACAAACACTTGTGAGGGTCTCAAGTTCAAGTGCAGGCTGGCGGAGCGTCTCCATCTTGGGCTTCCTTCCGCCTGCAGTCTAGACTCCGCTTTTCTAGACTCCAGACTCGGGGGGACAGACACAGGCCCAGACTCGAGCAGCCGGGCAAAGACAATCGGCCAGCGAAATTTGAATAAACATTAGAATAAATGGCCAGGGAATGAACGAAACATGAAAGATACATGGGAACAGTGAAACGTGGATATAAAGAATCGATAAAGAAATGGTTTTAAGAAGGTTTCTTTTAGACATTTATACAAAATATTTAATTTATTTATAATAAAAAACTGATAAATACTTATTAAACTATGGTTTATCTATAAGATACTAGGTTTTCTGTATTTTTTTTTATATTGAAGCTTACTGTACGCATTTTATGGATATATTTATAAATGTTATTGTTATAAATTGTATCTTAGAAGTTGTTTAAAAACAATTCTTTCCAGATTTAAAATTTTTCATGCAAATAAAATTTTAAATAATAATATAAATAGACTCCTACAAGTTCTTTTCAAGAAATTTGTTTTTTATAATAAAATTTTAGAAGAAATATTTATTTTCCACCTTATTTTTCCTTCTTAGTCTACAAAACTCTACTGTATTTATGCAAAATCCCCTTGAGAGTGCGAATTATAATAGCCATGGGGTTCATAAATTAAAAATCTTTGGCCGACAAAGACATCAGCGTTGAGAGTTCGTTTGCTTATTTAAATTTGAGCCCCAAGAAAGTCTACAAGAATCTGGCTTACAAAAAATATATGTAGCTTCGATTTGGTGGCGACCGTGTACGTGTTGCAAATATGTTTTCAAAATCTAAAAAATTTGTTAAACGGAAGTCGCCAGCAGTTAAGCAAATGGTCAAGAGATCAGAGTTAAAAGTTGAGAGTTAAAAGTTTAAAAGGGCAGCTGCTTATCGAGGTGTTTCTCAGCCGTCTGACCTTGTGCTGATTTTCTTTTACACCATTTTATATATATTTTTTATATACATATTTTCTTTATTTTTTTTGTATGATGTTTATGCTTGTTGCAGCAAGAAACATTACAAAAGGGAGAGAGCTTGTTTTTGTTTTTTTGTGTCGTGTAAATTGTGTACGGAAAAACAAAGTTTTGGCAAAGAAGAAAAGTTTTGTCACTTTGTTAGCTTGTTTTTGGACATTTCAGCACGTTTAAACTAAGGGCTCTTTCTGTCTCTCCCAACAGCATAATCTCACATTGCCTAGATAAACAATTATGGGAATAGTTTAGATAGGAGCTTAAGCTGCTATCTTTCGGTTTGATTTATGGCAGTGAGGAAAAGTCAGCAATGGCTGATATTGAGATTAATTTGATATTATAGAGGGGACAATTATTCAAATGGGTTGTCTTCGACTTAAGTTAGATAAGAAAAGTAGCTATAAATAATTAAATAAAAATATATTGTTGAGGAAATGAGTGTAAGTAAGAGTATTTTCTAATTGCAAATCAAAAATTAAAAGATTTTCTAAAGTTTATTTATCAAAATAATTCAGTTATTTATTTTTAAAGAAAGATTTTCATGTAGAAAATACATTTTTGAGACATTAAATATATCTTTTAAATATATACAAGGTCAAATTAATAAAATCTTAAGCTATTTCTAAGCGAGTCTTTTAAAATCTCTTCTAAAATATATTAAATTACCTTAATAACCCATTGTTTAATGACTCACTGTAAAAACCAACTCACTAAGCCACATTAAAAGTATCTTTACAACTCTTTACTAATATCTTTAAGCTCTTAGACTCAATGTCAAGTGGCTTGTACTTCACAACTTTGATTACCAACCGCAAATAGAGCAACTAATGTCAATGTAAATCACCTGTTAAGTTTGCCCGCTCATTATCCACCATATTACAACCCAAAAAGAAAACCAACTTGGCTAAAAAAAAAACGCCAAGATAAGTAAACAAAAGTCGGGCCCTTGTAAACTGCGGCTTAATCGGATGTGCGTAGTCATTCGGATGTTGGCCTAGTTAATAATGCATTAGGCCAACATCAAACACACTCTCGACGATGTAAAACGCCAGTTGAATTGTCAATTTATACGAAAATTGTCAACAATTAACATTTAACGCACACAACATACACACAAGACACGCCAAGTGGAGCGATTCCAGCCAGTCCGATAAGGCCAAAACGCTGTCAACTGTCAAATTTAATCATACTATAAAACGCGGGCCATAAAAAGCCAGAGAGGATGCAAAGCAATAAACAAACATCGAGAAAAATACAAACAAAAAATACAGCAACACAAAAGAAACGCCAACAATTTCAAACCGACGAACTGACATTATTTTGGCATGTTTTGAGGCTTGTGACAAACGCCTGCTTGAGTTTCTTTTTTGCTGTTTAATTTTTTTTGTTTTTTGTTTCGGTGTCAGTGTCGTTGTCGTGTGAATTTTTTTTAGATTTTAGTGAAAGTTCTAAAAAAAAGCAAGCAAATTTAACTTGAAAATTCAGTTCTTGCTTTGAAATGTATCCAAATACGTGTAAGTATCCTCATTTTATAAGATTTTGATCATTTTATATGATCTTTTTTTTTTGGGAAAATCAAATCAAAGAATATATCATAACTTGGCCAAAAATCTATAAATTTCAATTTGGAAAGCTTTAATCTGCTAGATTTTCTTGGGTTAAAAAATCTGCTTACCTAAATTTAAGTTTTTAAAAATTTAAAATTTTGGTCAATTTTTCACAATTTTAACGATGTAACCCCTTGTAAAATTTTGAAAAAGATCGAAAATATAAATTTTCTCCCAGACTTGGCTAGAAAGACTCGGCTGATAATGCTGATCAAGAATATATATGATTTATAGGGTCGGAAATGGCTTCTTCAATGTTTTACTAGCTTCTGAGTGAAATTATAAAACCCTATAAAGCTATAAAAATAGAAGATTAGTTTAGGAGTTTTAAGGATAAAGTACCAATATAACCTTGAAGAAGTTATTAGTATATATTTTAACAGATCTTTTTTGTTGTTGATTGATTTTAAATGTTAATTTCAAAATATTTTATATAAATAACCTTTTGTAGAATTTTAGAAACTAATGCATTTTCAATTCAAAATTCAATTCCAAAAGCATCCATAATTGTCACATAAAATAAACACAAATCCCCTCCTAGAATTCATTTTATTCCATTTCTAATTCTATTCTAATTATTTTCTATATAAAACAATGGAATTTCCCTAGTTGCAGTTGGCTAATTAGCCAACGACCCCGACCCCTTTGCATTCACCTACCTACCTGGGCCAGTAGTTGTTGTTGTGTTTGCTAGTTAGTCTATATGGCAAATGGCAGTCAACTTCCGTTTCCGGTGTCCGTTTGGCAGCCAAGTATCCAATTAGATTTGTTTTTTTTCTTTCTCAGTCAGCTGCGCAGGCGTCACAGCGAAAAGTAGGGAAAACTCAACAACGAAATTTTCGCCACACAACTTTATTATTTATAATTTATTTTTGTTGCTGCTGCAATCTGCACTGTTTATGAATTTTTAATTAAAAATATATGACAGGCAGATTGGATTTAAATATTTCATTTGCTGTGCAATATTAATTAATAATTGATTTATTATTTATTTATATAGATTTTTGCATAGAACTTTTCTCTTTGGCACTTTTTTGAAATGGGTTTTAAAACAAAACGATGTGTGTGTAAGTGTAGATGCAGGCACTTGAGAGCACAAAATAAGCACAGAATTTATATGATTTTTCTTTGAAATTTTGTTTTGCTGTAAAAACCAATTCCCGGCGTTTTGGTTAAATTTCGCGAAAATCTCGCCAACGGAAAGCGCAAGGCAGGCGGCCGCGAAAATGCGTTTGAACGAACGTCTGAAAGCGCTCAACTTGAACTGAACAAAAGTATCTTGAACCGCTGCGAACGTATCTCAATCTGCGCTGCGCCAGCATAAGCGGCGACTGTGCTGCTGGCGTCGACGCAGGCAGCACAACATTGCTGTAGGTTTGTTTCGATTCCACAAAGGGGAATGTTTTGACCAATGAAACACGCTCAATCTCATTTTATTCCCATTCACTCCACTCGAAAACCTGCTTGTGCACAACAGTGCTGCCATGTTAAGATACACTCACTCGTTTGTTGAGTATTTTGAGTTAATACTTATGTTTTTCCATTAATTCATAGATTAATTTGTTAATTTATAGTTTAGTAATTTATTTGACAATTTTTAAATATTTTTTGACCTTTGTTAAGGCCTCTTTTCGAGTATAGAAATATTTGGTTGGTTAATTCTGGCTGCACTGACTGGCGCTCTTAAGAGTCGAGTGAAACGAGTTGGAATGAAACGAGTGGAGTGAATAACTGGTTTCGTTTCGAGTGAATTTCGAGTTAATTACTCAATTATGCTGTTCTACGCTGTTAAAAAAGGAGTGTGGGTAGGATAACAATTTTTAAAAAGGTTTTAAAAATATCAAAAAAATATTTTAAACAAGTGTAAAATATATTCAAAGTAGTTTTTAAATGTTTGCTTACGATTAATGAATGTAATTTAATATTTTGTTGTACATTTTGTACATTTTTAAATCTTAGATAAATTATTTGAAAAGTTAATATTAAGGTAATGAGTATTTAAAGATGTGTTTTTCTAAGGAAAATAATTAGTTTCTTAAAGGATTGAAGCGTTTTTGAATTTAAATGTTTATATTTTTAATTGAAATTTCCCTTACAAAATCTTTATTTCGTTTATAAATCACAGATTTTTTATAGTTTTATTAACAAACATTTATTTATTAATTAATTAACATTATTTAAAGCAATGTTTCAAGGCAAATAATAATTTTTTAAATAACTAAAACCCATCCCAATTGCCTTTATAAATCATTTCTATCAGTGTACCCCAAAATAGGCACGTATCGCGACTCCAGTTTGATATGTGTGCCTGCAATTTAGTAGTTTGCCTGTATATATATTTTTTGTTTTACAAATTTATTGTTTTTTATCGGCCAGAGTTCACAGGTAGAAGGCAATTGAGATTTTTCATTTCTTTACCAGTCTTTTGGCGCTGGGGATTTATGGCTCGAATCTCTGATGGGGCTGAGGCGTCAATTTGATGAGCGTGTGAAATGGCTGGGCATCGTAGGGATCGGAAAGATATACTAACCATGTATAGAGACACTCTACGCTCTGGGATCCCAACGTGAGCAGGTGGACTCTAATTGGGTTGAGCAACGGATGTGACCTCAAATCAACTAGAAATATTTGGGAGATGATTACACGGTTAGAAAAATTAATCAACATCTATAAGAGTTTTTAAATATGTTTTAATATTTAAATTAATATTTAAATAAATTCTTGTAATAATCGAAATTACAATTGAGTTATGTTTGATTTTATTTCTTTAACAATCACATTTATAGCTTTTATTTAATTTTAATTTTAAAATGTTATGTTTAAAGCCCAATTTAATAACCCTTTTTTACCTAAAAACCCTGCAAATTTCGCTGCTGCAAATTACTTTACAACCCCAAAACATTCATAAATATTTATGTGACTAACTCTTTAGGTCCTACCAATTTTTCCGGGAACTCCTCTTTCTCTTCCTGGCACTTGCCTCTTGCTAATTTAGTGTTTCTCCACAAATTCTTTCACTTTGCCAATTTGCTACGGTACTTTTTCCAGCTCAAAGCATCAGCTGAAAGCCAGGCTTCAGTCAAACTTCAGCCTGGGGGAAAACTACCAAAAGCAAACATATTTATGCGAGGCAACGTGGCCAGAGGAGCACTTCAAGGCGATGCCGCAAAGTGGCGACGAGTGCGAGTATCTGTGACAAGTGTCTTTCATTAGCATAAGTAAATCTCCTCGAAAATCCTCAAATTTATTTGTCAACACTTGACAATTTCATTGTTGACGTCCACAGAAGGGGCGCAGCTGTAACATCTACCCGGCAAATCATGATTTGTGTCTTGCATGTGTCAAGCCTCCCAGCTATTGGTTAACAAAAAAAAGTCAAAGAGAGAAACTGGCCAAGACAATGGCAGTGGTCTCAGGCAGATGCAGATGCAGAGATGGAGCTCCCAACTCTGGCTTAAATCAAAGACAAATATTTAACAACAAACACTGAAATCTCTTTGGTTTTTACTATCCCAAAAGAAAGAGAAAAGTTTAAAGTTAGGAGAGCATCGAATTGTGAAGTATTTTTTTGCACACATTTTGTGCCTTGTGAGCTTTATGGCCATGTTTGGGTTGTAAATATTTTATGTCATATTTTTATGGCCGTATCAAAGTTTTCCATTAGGACTTGAGCATATATATGTTTATAATTTATGCTTAGTACCGAGATGACTAAACGAATTGCACAAGATTCATTAAGGATTTAGTGCGGGCCACGGTGAATGGAAATCGATTTGGAGCTCAGAAATTCCTGAATAAATATATTTATGGCCAAAGTCTGGATTAAGATTGGTAGATAAATCTTAGAGGAGGATTAATATTTATAAACTATTCACCTGGGATTAGTTTTTCTTGGTAAAAGAGATTCCATCATTTGCTGCTTCTTTCAGAAAATGAAATATATTTCCCTTGCTCTGCGTTTTCCCTTGCTTTCCTATTAGTTTTCCAACTTGGCCTTGGCTAATTGCCCTACTGGCACATCCTGGCTGTCGAGACAAAAGCCAACTAGACCAACTCAATGGGTTTTCGGGGGACTTCCTTATCTGGCTTATCGCCCCCTGTGTCAATGTCGTCATTTCTGGCTAAAAGTCTGAATGTCTGGCGGAGCTCCGTTCCGTTCGGGTCTTGTCCTGGTCGTCATCGTCATGGCGGCATTATGGCCAACACTTCATTACCAACAAAGCCATTGCCATTCATTAACAGCTGCGGCTTTGTGGACCTGGCTCGCTGGGTTGCTTTGAGTTTCTGCTGTCGCCGCAGTAAAAGTTGGCAACGGTTTACTGCAGGTCTCGTGGCGGGTCTTTTCTTTGCCTCCCATAATGCCAACGTAATCTCAAATTACTGCAAATTTTCGCTGCTCACCTTTTATGCGCTTATTTATTTTATTGTGCATCTTCATTGCACTTTTTGTGTGCAGGCAAAAGCCCATCTGCATTCCCATCGGAATCGGAATTGGGGATGGGCAATGGGGAGTGGAAATCGGAAATGGAAAATATTAGAGAAATCGATAAATATCGAAAGGTGGGTTAAATAAATTGTAATTTATGATTAAATAATAATACAATAATTTTTTCTTAAGTATTTAAGTAAATATTTATTTAAATTAGGTTATCTCTTCCTCTCAAAACTTAGATAAATATTTCCAGAAAATCGATTTAATTCGATTATAAATCGTTACTTTTACCATCTCTAATTGGAATCTCCCGCTTACTTTGGAACGAGTCGTTGTAAATCTTGTATTATTTTGATTGTTGCGCAGTTTTTATTGTTGCCTCCAATAATCTGGCTTTATGCTGCTACCAATAAGCACCGCAGAAGCGCATTTCCGCAATTTTCCGCAGATTTCCAGGCGCCTTTGGCTGCAGCGAAGACGACGACGACGACAGGTGCACAAATGCTACCCAGAATGGCAGTTTGATTGAGCTTCCCCCCTGATGTACTTAATGATTTGTTTAACTGAAAAAAAAGAAGAGGGGAAGTACCAAGCTCAGTCCGCAGGCAAATGCCGTTGAGGCGGGTTTATCACCGCGATAAGCACATAAATAATGAAGGTTTCTGCTGGCCATAAACACGCTGGATGAGTTGGCAAAGTCAGCAAAGTTTTTTGCTATTTACACAAGGGAAAATATTAACCATTTGAACTTGGGTAGTTAACAAGTTTTAATGGGTTAAGCATACTTAAGAAGCTGGGCTTAAATATTATTCTAAAATTTATTTTGTATCGTGGAAGAAATAACTAAAATATTTCCATATTTCTTAACTCAATTTGTATTTACTCAAATTATTATAGACCCTTTTTAATCATATACTCCCCTACTTTTCTCAAAGTGCACTAAACTCTTTAGGAAATTGATTTCTGTTGCTTTCACTTTAAAGATGTTAAGGAATTACTGCCAAAGAGGAAGCCTTGAGGCTCCTCAACTTCTCAATTCATTCGACTGCCTCCTTTGCATTTCTGCATTTATCAAATAATTTCTATTCAAATAGATTGTCCTCATTTTTTCTGCCACCTGCTCTCGCACCTGTTCCATTGCATTTGTCCTAAGCCAGGCAAAACCAAATTAGGACTTGTGACAATTGCTATACATACATCATCATCATCGGGCAGCACTTTAATTGTGCCTGGCACTCAATCTTTCAATCACGCCAGCCGCGGGAATCGGCGAGGGGCCGCTATGCGGATTACATGCGGCCGACTGGACTGGACTGGAGGATGGAGGATGGAGGATGTAGCGGCTGGCAGGCAATATAATCTATATAATCATAAGAGCGGTCCATGTTGTAACATGGCTGCAGCAGCCCCCCTCGCTCACCCAAGAAGCCTCACGCATTTGCGACATGTTGTCAACTCGAATTGCGTTCGACTGATTGAAGGCAGCCAGCCAG